ATCTTAAATCTCCTTGTTTATTTTCTGTTTGTATGAGATGACTTTTCAGAGGAGCTGGGCAATTTCAGCAAACCTTAACCAACATTTCTGCGTCTGTGCACATATCTGCACAACTCCAAATACTTCTTTTTCTCTTTCCTTTCTCTTCTCTTTCATCGGTACATCTGCTGTCTCTGTCTCCATATGCAGTCTTACTTTTCCCATCTCTTTCTCCTTTCCAAGTCTTCCTCTCACATCATCTTAGCTCTAAGTATCGCTCCCTGACCCTACTAACATCACATTTTAATCAGATAGCACCTCCTTTTCCTCTTGCAAAACTCTGTTATATCGTTCACACTTGAAATGCAACAGATAGTTTAGCAAGAGCACATTTTTGCAAGGAACAACCAAATAAAGGGGATCCAAAGCCAACTAAAGAGCCCTGCTTTCAAAAGGGTACAACAGAGAGTAAAGTGAAATTAGAGTTTCTAAAGCAAGCTGGAAGAGTTTCAGCAAAGTCTTAGCCCTCATTCTGATTACAGCTTAATTGGACACCCTGGTGTTTGAAGGGGCTCAGTGGAAAATAAAACAAATGTGCCTATTGTTCTTAGAATAAGTATTATAATAATAATCATTCTTTAAGCATCAGTAGTGCCTTTCATCTAAGGGCCATAAAGCACTGTGCAAACATTAATGAACTAAGCCTCTCAGTGCTCCTGTAAACAAGGTAGATATTTTAGACCGTTTTAAAATGAAGAGTGAGGTCCAACAAAGACAACAGCAATATGTTTCTTATGTTTGCAGTTGGTTACTTAAATCTATGTACAGCTAGACCCAATGTAAGAATTGTCTGGTTTTCAGAAGTAATAAATAACCTCAGTTCCAATGGCTTTTGGAAGCATGTAGCGTCTTTAAAGCTCAATTCCCACTTCAGCTGCTTTAAAAGTACATGCTTAGATGCCTCTCAAGATCTCTGTCAGAATCAAGCAACAAGCCTGTGCAAGGATCAGAGGAATTTAGGACTCCTGGTTCCTAGTCCCTTCATCTACACAGTAGTCTGCCATGATTTCTGTAGCATAGCTATTATCCCATAAAGACCTAGCCAGTCTTCACTTTCAGCATGAGCAATTCTATTGAATACAATACTGAACACAGTGAATACAGTTGATTTGGTGTGCACAGGTACCTACAGATTAAACCTCGCTCACTTCCCTTTCTAGACTTCAGTAGACATACTTGGATGGCTTCATATAACCACTCAATAGTTTTAAACATGAAGTGGAGCTAAATCCCCAAGAAACTTTGCTTCATCAACACATGCTAACTATCCGGAGATTGGTTAAGAAATTTGTAAGCATTATTTCCCATGCGCTGGCTTAACAAGAAGCTTTTATCCTTGCTTTCAGCCAATCCCAGTGCTAAACAGAACACTGCCCAATTTATTTTTTTAACAAGGTTCTCTGCTATTGAAACCAGTATGAAGTGCAATTTATGGGCTTAACATTCAACTGTTAAATTATCCTCCCAACATCTTTCCAGGCCACTCTCTTAGCTCTTCAGAAGAATATTTTATTGGAAAGGGTAAATGTATAAAAATCTACTGTTAAAACACTTAACAAATCTCCCCTGTCAAGCCAGTAAACTGTAGGCCTTCCACTCTGATCTGAGATTGCTGCTTCCCTGCTCCCCCCCTCCCCACCTCCCTTTTCTTTGTTTAAAATATGCTGACCACACAGTGACCTCTCGTAACCCATTGGTCGAAAATTACAACCAGCCACACAAACAAGCAGCTCGAGGTCAGAAAGAGCAGGGTCTGCTAAAAGTTAGTAATCATACATTAATTCCCTGACATAATTAATCAAAATGAACCACCGTTATCTAGCGCGGAACCTTTAACCTATTACAAAGGGGTCAATTTGCAAACCACTTGAGCATGGGAGTTTGGTACAAATAGCATACTCCCTTCATCTGGGATGCCCTAAGTAGGCAAAAATGCCTTTGAAGTCCCAAATCTACCAGATTTAGATATAATTTCATCAATCAAGTTAAAAGGCTGCCTTCCCTCCAAAAAGGATTTCATGTAGATCTGTCATCTAGCTCTGTTCAGTGGGTGACTGAAAATCCATTTGTTAGGCTCTTTTTGTCAGGATGGAGTAGGCTGCAGTTGGCTCTACATGTCAAAATAGCTGAAAGTTTATCAAATTGAAGGCTAAGAGGCATGATTTGTGTAAGAACCTGTGCTGACCTGGTAAAGGAAGCAGTAAATCTCAGCTTTGTTATGCCAATCAGCTTCAATTCTGGAACTTAATTGTGTTTTCATTTGATATGACTATAATTACATCTATACAGTGCATCAGCCACTCACAGTGAATAAGACATAGGACTTCACACGTCTGTACAGCTCCCAGGATCACACTGCCTCACCATCTTCCGTGCAGTCACCTGAGCAAAGCCCCTGTGAAATTATGTTATCTCCATCCTTAAGGAAGGAATTGATGCCCAGAGAAACACAGCCTCGACCTTTCAAGGATTTCAGTGCTCAGTTCCTTTTCAAATCTTAAATTTCCACCAACATCTGCATGAGTAAGGCAGCTCGACAGGAATTGGGAGCCTAAATACTCTTAAGATTTGGGTTTAAATGGCACGTCCAAGGTCATGCAGGAGGAACTCATAGCAAAGAGGAGAGCAGAATCCAGGTCTCTGAAGTCCACTGAATCAACTTTCCTCCATCAGATTTAAGATCCCTACAGTCCACAGAGTCCCCTTGAGTGTTATCTAATCCTCTTTCATATGTATCAATGCAAACACTCCTCCATATGTATATTTAATGTCTCTATTTATTGCATGCAAGAACGGATGAGCTGTGGAGTTTTAGAATATCATCTTATCCAGTGATATCATATATCACACAGGTGAATCTCAAGGGGTTTATGATGTTACCAAGACCCCCAAATAGAATTAATTTTAAGTCATTCACCGAATCTCATTTTCTGTGTCATGTAACGTATGACCACAACAAAGATGTCAAAATATTTTAAATGACTTTACATTAGTATTAGTGCAACAACTGCATTTGGAAAGCATCACACCTACTTAAAAAGTTTCTGGGAAATGTAAAACAAAGTCATTGTTAAGGTCAGTGTTTTAGCAGAGGTCACTTGAACTACAATTCCCAATATGCACATGGAGTTGACATGTCTGGCTTTTAAAACAAAATCACAATTCATCATCTGAATGTCAGATCTGTGGCTTATGAGTTCCTGGTGTCTGAATGATTATGACACTTATAAAGTATATTTTATTATTACAGCCCACTCATTGCCACTCTCCATATGTGAAGTGATGGATATTTTAAATGTAATTCTACTTATTTATATTTATATCTTACTAGTGACAGGTAAAAAGCATCAACAAATCACGGCAATTTTTAACTAGTCAGAGACAAGATTTATTTTCAGTATAGTTAGTATGCATACTGCGGTTATTAGGAAGAGTGATTCCCACCCAGAGAATCATTGTTTAGTCACGTGTAATTAAAACAAACTCCCCAAAAAAAGGAACCTCAAAACATACAGAAATATCACACAAAGGTAAAAGGGACAATGGTAGAAATGGGCTGCATATGGACTGCAGCATCTCCCTGCGCTGGAAGTGGCTGCTGGAATTTGAAGGGCTAAAGAAAAGGGTGAGATTGCCTTCAACATACTATTTATTCAGGATGTTACCATTTCAGACTATTTAATTAAGTACATAATTAATTTATTAAGACGCTTATGAACGTTAATTGTTAAAAAAAAGTTAAGGCTGCAATAATAGAGTCCTGCAGCTCTTGCTCAGGTTCCTATTTGACCACCTAATTTTCCGTAGAACTGTGAGTAAACAACCTTTGCAATTAAAGACAGGTAATGACAAAAATGTATTCACATATGGAGGTGTTCCTGGACAGAAAAACATTCTGGCAGAGCATCTAACATATGCACTTTTGCTGCAGTCCTATTATAATCAAGACGAGTGAGCTCTGTACAGTCTGTAAGACTTTTGTCATTACTGCAGAGACCTTCAGTAAGTGCAATGCTTCTTTCCCATCAGCTGCCATAGTTTCCTAGGACACCTTGACACGCTGCCAGACAAACCTACTGCCTGCCTCTGCTCCACTCTACACACTGCATGATCCACTACAAACTGCTGAAACCCTCACTTTGCAAGTGCCTAAAATGGATACAACTATAATTAATGACCTCTAAGGTCTCTGATAAAGCCATTTAGCATTTGCCAGGCACTTTGTGGGCTTTTGGGTCAAAAACAGTAACAGCAAGGTAGTATTATGAAGTTTCATCCTCAAGTTATAATAATATTTAATAGCAGGATCTTCACGTTGCTAGAAATAAAATCACATTGCAGAAATGTATAACAAAGAAAATGAAATTGAACACATCACCAGATATTCAAACAGACTTCAGGATTTACAACTTACAATCACAGAATTAGCAAGGTTGGAAACGACCTCTGAGTTCATCTAGTCCAACCATCCACCTGCCACTAATATTGCCCACAAGCTATGTTCCTCAGTGCCACATCCCCACGGTTCTTGAACAACTCCAGGGATGGTGACACACCACCTCCCTGGGCAGCCTGTGCGAATGCCTCACCACTCTTCCTGAGAAGAAGCATTTCCTAACATCCAACCTCAACCTCCCCTGGTTGAGGCTCTCATCCTATCACTCTTTCCCAGGAAAAGAGGCCAACTCCCACTTTGCCACAACCTCCTTTCAGGGAGTTGTAGGGAGCAATAAGGTCTCCCATGGGCCTCCTTTCCTCCAGACTAAACAAACTTGGAGATGTTTTCTAGACCCGGACAATCACACTATAATATATCTATACTTACTTATGTAAGTATATATAGACATATATGTCTATATCTTACTATATGTAAGAGCAATAAACCTCCTCTTACATAAGTAGCTTCTGCAGCTGTTAACAAATGCAAAACAAGTGTGAAAATGCCAACTGCAGCACCTTACTTGCAATGTGAGGCTGCTCCAAGGTATGAATTATCTTGAGCTGATTCAGTAACATCACGTGAAGGACAAAGAGGTTGCTGGTAGCTCATTCTGCAATGCTGTTTGAGCTGCAAGGGCTTATGAGTCACGCTCCGGAGAGTCTGCAAGGAAAAACACATTACATTTTCCAGGCCACCAAAACTCAAAGTGAGAAATCTACACGTGTTCAACCCATTCCCTCCCCAACACACACAGTTTAAACCCCGGTGGGATAGGGAATTTATTCGTTAATTCTTGAGCTTAAGCCTTCATCTGAGGAAGAGACAAGCATCGAAGTCTCTCATCTCGCATGGAGATGAAAGTTTCTCAGTTGGCCTCTTCACTGCAGCCTCCTCCTTCCAGGAAGAGATGAATCCCCATGGAAGAAATCCAAAACCCCTGGCCACCCAGCATATCCATCAGAAATAAAAACATCTTCACTGAGAAAAATGCATGCGTAGAACAGAGCACAATGCAAGGCAAGCTCTGCTTGCACAGAGCTGTAGGAAATGAAAGGTAAAAGCCAAAAAAGCCAAACGGAGTGGTGTTAAGATAACAACAGGACGTTGTTTTGATCCCAGGAGATCCCGTGGTTTTTCTTTTTAATAGTGTCACACAGAGTAACTTATAAAGGAGGCAGGGAAGGTGACACAATTTTATAACTCTGCGGGGGCTTCACACCATGGGACAAGATTCCTATTGTACAGAGGAATATTGGAAAGAAAAGGGGGAAAGGAAAAAAAAAAAGAGCTTGCAAAGCAGATCTAAAATTACACCTATTCTCAAGGAAGATACAAATCTAGGCCAAAAGGATTGCTCATTACAATGAACTCCTAGGAACTTTTCTAGCAAACGCTTCACAGGTATTTATCAACTGAGCCCAGGGCAGGTGAGGAGGATCAGAAAAGAAAGGAAATCAGGAAGAAAAACAGCCTGCTTTCTCTCCACAACTCTCTCAGCCCATTTTCTACAACTGTAGAGCTTCTAGTGAGCGTGGCCAGGCCTTCTCTACCCAGAGATACTATACCATGCATCAAGAGGGCTTTTAGCTCTCTCTCTGTTCCTCCCATCATTGGCAGCATGGGTAGGCTCCCATTGCACTAATGGGCTCTGTGTCACCTAAGAAGGATGCTCTGCCTCATACACACAACACCAACAAATCAGTTGCAAATCTCAAGCCAAAATGTGGAACAAACCCAAGATAATGCCACACTCTTATGAAAGACACTCATAAACAGTTAAGCCCAAAATAACATCAACTGGGCAGGTTCAAAGGGAGAAACAAAATGCAACAAAACTGTGTGGGCATCTGTGATTCTGAAACGATAATGTGAATCCAGGACCATCAATACAGTGGGAAGAGTCCCCTGTCCCACTGTTGCTGTTGTGAGGCGAGGTCTCCAAAGATCTCTGCCTGAGCTAATTTCAGCTGTTTGCTGCAAAACTTCTTTTCTTCCCTTCCCACTCTGCATCACACAATGCTCTTTTTGGTGTTTCCGTTCACACTGCGGGCACTGATCCCTGCCAGGAGAGGTGTCAAAACTTCTAATAAAACGACTGCTCACGCAGAAAGTCTCACAGCTGAAATTTGGGAGCCGTACACACTCCCACACAAAGCAGGGCTGTCAGATCGGATTGCAAGGTGTCAGTTTACCCAATTCAAACCTGAGGCTCTATTAAAAAAATGCACAACAACCCATCCCCCTACAGACACACACACGAATGCAAGACATCAATCAAAAGTAATTAATAGTTTTCCTTCCTCTTCCGTTCTCCAAAGAATGCCAGGAGACAATAATCTGTGAACTCAAATGATTGGTGAATAATATCCATGCAAAAATTAGGCTGGTGGTGAAACATCCATAGTTGTTGTCAGTGCTACCTGAAGGCCATAGTCCAGACATCTCAAATGCCTCTGCAGTGCTGTGCTGAACTGCTCTGCACAGTGTGGAGTCTGGGAGGTGACAGAAGGCGTCGGCGCAGATGGGGAGGACAGATGTGGGGTTAAGCCAGATGTGAGGGAAAGAGCTCGGGGCCAGATTGGAGCCTTCAGCACCCATCATTTACGTCAAGCAACTGTGAATGATCTCATTTCCCAAGTCATCTAGGGCAAATGTGGCTTTCTGTAGAGAAGCCAATGCTTTTGGGGGCTGGTGAAAAAATAAAGAATCCAATTGAGCTTCACTGAGACCTGCAGGGATTTAACCCAAACTCCTCCAAACAGAGGAGAGTTCAGTTATCCAACAAGACCTGCACAGAAGGGCAGTGTTACAGTTTCCTGACCCTTCACCTCAGCATCAGGCAGCATACCAAGTGCTAGAATGCTACTTTCTTTTTAACAATTAGGTGTGCACTTACCTGCAGAAGGATACAGAGAGGCTATCAGGTCTGTGGCCCCACTCTCCTTCTCCCTCATTAACCTACAAAATCCAATGCCAGATCTGTTCCTAGCCACAACATGGATCACAGCTGCGTATCTCTGCTTTCCCCCAAACACACCCACGGATGTGTTGGATCCAATCCACGTGGATGGAAATGCATTAGTAGACAAGCAACTATAAATGTACCAAAAAAAACCCCAACAACCTCCCTTTTTCTTCATGTTCCTTCTCTGGAAGAAAATATCTCTCTTTAGAGCCTCCTGACCAGGCACATGGAGGAGGCAGACACACCTGGCTGGCAAAGCGAGCTCCCTCCAGCTGCATGTGATCACCTCCCTTCAGCCAAACCACTCTAGCTTAACACTATTAAAACTATTGTGCAACTTTTGCTTTGCTACTTCCCATCCAGTTCCATATGTAAAGGCATGGTTCTGCAATTAAACAGTGAAGAGCAGTTTCTCAATGTATATGCTGAAATTCTTGCGTGATTACAAGTGGTAAATGACTCTAAATCATCTACTTTCACCATCTAATACACGCACTGGTTTTGTGGACAGGCATCATATTATATGTTCTGAAGGCGTTTTTTTTTCTTCCTCAAAGGTTTGTTTTTTTGTTTTTTTTTTTTCTTTCCCACATTTTCTAACACATTGTCCTCTAATTCTACATCTAGCCTGAATGGCAAGAAGTCGCATGGCGCAGGTAGCTCCTCCCAGCCTGCTTGCAGGCAGCCTCACTCAAGAAGACCACTACTACTCTTGCTATCTGTAAAGGGCCTTAAGTTGTTGCTGCAGCTATAACCCCATAAAGCTCTCTTCTTTTGTTCTCTTCCTGAGTCTGGTTCCTAGTACCCTTCAGACATTTTATTGATCTTTCTCCCCCTCTAGCTCATACATGCTAATTGTACCTCTGTAGCAAAACAATCTTATTATCATGTTAATTAGTGGGAGGGTTGTTGAGGGTTTCCAGTTCATTACCTGCTAATTTCAAGATAAATGAATCCACAGGTTACTAAGTAAATAAGGTCACCTATCAAGTACTTGTAAACGTGTTTGTAAACAAGGAGGGGAGATGGGGAGGGAGAGAAAGGGAAGCGTGTTTGGCTTGGATGGTGGGAAGTAGCTTTGGATACGGATTTGGCATCCCATGCTGGGGTGACTCCATTTCCCTTGAACTCATTTGTAATGGAAAGCGAATGTTTGCTGTCCACCTGGTTCCCCAGTGGGACGTTTCCTCCCTGCAACTACTTTGTGCGCTCAAAAGGCTCTTTGTGAGCAGATTACTCATTCGGAGGTTCGGTTGATTGTTGCTGCCTTTTGTGGTGAGAGCCAGGAGTGAGGACATGCACAAGGCAAAGCAGCACCAAAGGGGGAACAAAAAGCATGGTAGTGTGAGTCACGTAACCTCCCCCTCCGCAGCCTCACGTGGCTCAGGGTTATTCATATTGCCTTTATACGCAGGGACACGGGACAAAGGGATTCAATGGGCGAGGGGAAATAAACAGTCAGATCCTTTGCTGGGGTAAAATGATATATTGCTTTGAAATCCATGTGTCTACACCACCCCCAAACCTCCAACGGAGATCTCTCCAAGTGGGGCAAGTGGATAAAAGGACCATGTAGAAAAGCCTATCTGAGCTATGCGGATTGCAAAGGTAAAGTTATCAGCAGACAAAATGGAAAACGGTGCTGAGTGAGCTCCCCCGGGGTCTGCCCTTGACCAGTTCTGTTCAACATGATTGTTAAAGCTAGTGAAATAAAGAATATGAGAATTAAATGTTCAGAGCACACCAAAGTGGGGAGGGCGGCCAGCTCTCAGAAAAGAAGGAAGGCAATTCAAAGAGAACATGATAAATTGGAAAGAAAAAAAAAAATGGTCCAGCAAAAAAAATAAGGAATCACTCCTTGAGGGCAAGTTTGGAGTCCAAGACTGGGCAGGAACAAGACACATGAACACAGCAAAAACCAGGCAAGGTGGTGATCCATCATTAAAGGCATGAAGAGATGAGCAGACCTCAAGTTGAGAGGAGAGAACACTGACTGTCATGATGTTGTGGAGAAGGCAAACATCACATTAGCATTTGTAAGCAGGAGCGTTGCCAGCAGGATTCCTGAGTGACCTCCAGCCCATGCAGAGCTGGCTGGGGCCAGGTTTAGAGGGAGAGCTGAAAGATCAGAGCTTTGGGAATCCATCCTGTGAAAAAAAAAAAGGGGGGGGGGGAGGGGGAGAGACAAAGAAAACAACTGTTTCAATAGAGGGTCTTCAGAAATGCAAAAGATGAAAGAAGGAAATCATTTACCCTCCACAGCCATACTGACTATGCCAGAAAGTAAAGAATTTACCTCAGGGTTGGAAGGATTCAGGCCAGGAGAAGTCAAGTGCCTGTACTCCATGTTTAGAGCCAGCTTAAGGACCCGAGAACATCCAAGACAGGTCTAGTGGAGATTTGCATCCTTGTGAGGAGGCTGAAAGCTTGGCAAGGTACCAGCAAAGATTTAAACTTGCAGTAGTGTCTTGAGTTCAGGTATCCGAATGATTCCCTCAGTGCAGCTTCTTAAAGTTATGGGCAGTGAACAGTGGAGTAATTTGCATGAAGATGTTATAAAATCTTTGGAAGAAGCTGGCACAGTCTGCCTGCCTTGGAGCAATGGGATCCAGTAGATCCCTACCCAGAACCTCCTCAGGTACCTCTCATTTTGTATATAGGCGAGAACTCACTAACCCTCCATCTGACAACAGTG